GGTTCGTAGTTGGTTGAATTCTTGTACCAACCAGCAGATCCTGATGTTGCAACTGCTGTGTTGTGGTCACTGTACATCTTTTGCATTGCTCTGTTTCATGTATCAATGATCTTCCAAATACCTTTCAACACTTGAACCAGTTCTATTTGCTGATGACTGTTACGGACCCGAGCCCAGCGTCCGAGCACGGAGCAGTGACGACCACGCCATCTGTGGGTCAGCTCCCGAAACCCCCCCTCCAAATGGACGATGCCATCTAGTGAGGACGAGATATACTGGCCACAAGGGCTAGTTTCCCGTCCTGATCAGCTCATAACACAGCCGCTGCTGACCTCTGGTGAGGTGGAGCTTAGACAGCAACGCCATCTATGGAGTGGATAGGTGGGCGTTTGTGTCTAAGCCTGTAAGTGAGGTGCCCTAGAGTGTCCCTATTACTGATGACGCGTGTCTGATTACAGAGTCGACCTGGGACTGCTGTAATGAAAGTTGGATCAGTCTACCCAAGGCAGTCGAAGAGTCTCCACGTGTTCGCTGCAGCAGCTGTGAGTCACCCCCCCCCCCCCCCCCCCCCCGGATGAACACTGTGGTGTTAGCCTGCCTGTGACGTGGCAGTTGAGGGATTGTCGTACTTGGGGCTGACTGGTGGAGACGCTTAACCACTGGGGTGTTGTGGTGAGGAGAGTGATCTGTGGGATCACACGAGGCTCCTGACTAGGGCTCGCAACCCTAGTATCGATCGTGGAGTGGCCTACGCAGCGTTGCTGATTGGAACCTGCCAGCTACAGGCTGGATTTGTGGTTGACGGCCTCCACGACGGTGCCCCCAGTGGAACTGTGATTTGGCTGGCCTGTGGCCAGGGTAGACTCAAGAGAATCGAAGGATTCATCGTGAGGCCACAAGAGAACCAGGACCACTCGTCTTGAACACCGTGAACGTCCAGAGTCTTCAGAGGAAGACTACATTGTATATAATAGTGTTTATACCCACCCCCGTGTGATTAATTTATATATTATTTATGGTGATGGTGATAATTATATGTATAAGTTTTTGCCTTTGACTCCCTTCCCCTTTAATTTACTTGCGTTACGGATCACATCCCTTGAAAGCCACTACTAACTTGGGGCCGGATACCCTACCTCTAACAATATCAGAGAAAGAACCCGGTTGCGACCCAATAGGGCCGTAACAATGACTCATCCTTCATTTTCTCCCATGCTATCCCACTTATTCTAAACGACAGTGAGTACTGTACTGAACTAAATGAAGTTCATTTGTTGTTGACTGCTATGCAAACTGACCATTAACAATGATGACACATTCTACACATTGTTTGGTAACAAGTCCAACAGTCAAATTAACCTAAGAATTAATAATACCCAAATTATGAGCAGAGAAGTTGGGAAGTTCCTTGGTCTTCACATTTACAACAAACTGAATTTCCATTGCCATATACAGTATATAATATATGGTAATGTTCTCATTACTAAAAAAAAGTTTCTTGAACAGTTATGCATTCTTACTGAAATCAGATACAATGTACCTTGCCCTTCCTTAATACTGTAACTTATTTGCTCATTTATCCATCTCTCACCTATGGTATCTGTTTCTGGGGTCTACCACCCATAATTACCTCTAACCTCTAATTACTCAATAAAAAATCAGCAATTAGAACAATAACAAACTTCAGGCCCAGATACCATTCTGCACCTTTATTGAACTCTTTGAGCACATCAAATATCAAGTCACTGCATATACTCTTGAGCGTACTCTATACTGTGTGTATAAAACTGAATTGCAGTGCAAATCCTGACCTAAAGTACTTCCTAGAAATTGAAATTGAAATAAGTTTATTGAGGTAAAATACACACAAAGGGATGAGGTAGCTCAAGCTATTCTCACCCCCATTCAGTACAACGTGTTAATATATACATAGACACACATCACAAATAAACATATTACCAAACATTCTGAGAGGTAAACATATACATTTCCTCCTTCACAAGTAGTATGTTATCAGACGTACACACAAATACTTTTATGACCTAGGTATACTGTATAGACAATTTGCAAGACACCTGCAGATAATTCAACAAAATATTACAATCTTGGTGTACTTCCTAGAGGGCTGTAATAGAACTCATGGGCACTTTACTAGAAAAAATATATCTGATATTTCTAGAATGAGACTCAGTCAGAGCAGAAAAGCTATGCAAATCAAGGGTTCCAAATTGTGGAGTGATATCCCAAATGTAATTAAAAGCTGTATGTACTCCAACCAGTTTATAAGAGAGATATTGACTTATTTTTAGATATTAATATTCAGATATTGACTTAAATATCATTTAACTAATTTCTCACTCATTTCTCCACGTAATAAGATATTCTTGCGTTACTGTTATCTTTAAGTGAAATTTGTCCTTTCTTTTAGTATCATCTAATTATTGTATCTACATTTTTAAAATTGCTTACTCAAGTCCTCTGTATATGATCATCTTGTTTATTTTCAAGTGTTTGCTACATTAAATTATTAAATTTTACTACTTTACTGTTATGTTCTAGTAGCTTAAGTAAATTACAACTTTGTATTTTCTTTGTTATTTATGTTAATACAAAACTAGTAATTACCCAAGTGTAGTTACAGAATGAGAGCTACGCTTGTGGTTTACCGTCTTCCCAGCACTATGTCATAAACGCTTTGAAACTACTGACGGTCTTGGCCTCCACCACTACCTCACCTAACTTATTCCAACTGTTTACAACTCTGTTTGCAAAAGTGAATTTTCTTCTTTCTTCAACATCTTTGTTTAGTTGGTTTAAATCTATGACCTCTTGTTCTTGAAGTTGTAGGTGTTTGGAATTCTTCCCTATCAACTTCATCAATTCCTGTTACTATTTTGTACGTAGTGATCATATCACCTCTTTTTCTTCTATCTTCTATTTTTTGCATATTTAATTATTGTACTATTTCTGGAACTATAAACTACATAATGTAATAGTCTCTGCCTGTCATCATTATCACCTTTATATTGTGCTGTATATACGTCATTTGTTATATTGACCATTCTCAATTATGTTAGCTTACTTCTCTTGTAGTATTAAGTGTTTACTCCTGTATACCTTTAATTTTTATCTTGGTTATTTTTACTTTTGCCCAAAACACTTTACATATTAGTGGCTTCATTTGTATGTATAACTCCTGCCCCTACAAGTGTTCCCTTCCTCTTGTGTTCTTTGTGTACACATATGAACAAAATTATGATTGATAGTTATTTGCATTGTTGGAATTTGACTTTTATAGATTTTCTGTGCAATTGGCTGTACTTTTAGGAAGTTTATAACTATATACCTATATTGAAATGATGACTTGCAACATGCATTTGATTAGTTCGTGTCAGAATTGTCTGGATAATTACTAAATGCTATGATAACTGTCAGCTTATTTTTAGAGCTGATGCACAAAATTGGGTTATCTGTTGAACTATACAAGTCTATGCTCTTAGGTTCATAGGGCAACTGGTGAGATTTGGCAGTTGATAAGTGAGGTTATAAGGTCCTCATTCAAAAGGTCTCCCAAGGATCAGAACATCAAAGATTTCTTATTAATTCAGAGTACTGTACATTTATTTTCAGTTATATCATGACTCACATTTGTCATTGGTTCTCTACACAGAGGGATGATGAAATACAAGTACAAGTGGCAAATACTAATGCTTAGTAATAATCTCATTTGGGAATATATCCCACTATTAACTACCTCCTATAATCTTTATACTACGCTGATCAGTTCCTGATCATGCTCTATTTTTTTTTAGTAGAACCGAGTCAATATTTTGCATTGGCTGGTAGCAAGGCTTTGATCACCTAGTTATTCTTTACAGATTCACACAACCACTTGATAATTATTTTAGGTTTAAAAGAAATAATTTGATAATGTTACCTACACAACCCATCCTCCTGTTTAGATATGATCTATTGTGACGATTGTCAATAGTCACACATTAGTACGTACCTAGTTTTTAGATAGTAGTATACAGACTAGTAAGGAATTCTTAAAAATAAAATGAAGCTAAAAACAAAGTTATATTTCTAGTATATAACACACACATGTATAATAGTATAGCAGACACATGTACTATATTAGGCCTCAGATATTGTGTATTATGCCTAGGAAGGTTAGGATAGGCTAGTCCACTAATGCTTAAAGCATTGTTTCTTAAAGCAACACAAGTAATAGTTTTCTGGTTTATCAAACTCAATATTGCCGATTTCTATGTTATAATTTCGTTGTTCGTCGGTACACCTGATTGATTGATAACTGATTGATGGGGTTCTGGGAGTTCTTCTACTCCCCAAGCCCAGCCTGAGGCCATGCTTGACTTGTGAAAGTTTGGTCCACCAGGCTGTTGCTTGCCATGGCCCACAGACCCACATATCCACCACATATATACTGTACTCTGGTCCTCGTCTTTACTATAAGTATTAACAAAACAGGAGGATGGGCTGACCTACACTACCTAGCCTACTGGCTTCTATGTGGGTTGTGTTCATTCAGAGCCATTAGTACTTGTTCTACCTGTGCTGGCTCATCATTCATGTGGTCAGATGTCAGGCCTAATCAGTCCTCCTTGGCCAGGATACGAACCTAGGCCAAATTGCTTGCCAAGCGTGGGGCGAGTGTGTTACCACAGGGCCACAGAGGACTTTGTAACACTTGATGAGGTCCTCTCTCACCAATTATAAATCCCTCAAGAAAAGATGAAAAATAGGTGTATTAATCATAATATAAAGTACTGTTTTGCAATCGGGTTACTGAATGTGTTTGTTGCAATCATATTAATCATAAAAGGATATTTCTTAAGGCTTTACTCATAAGTTTTAAAAATGTGGTGCTTTTAAACTAGTTGTATGATTATTCTTCACCGAGTTTTAAAATGCAGTTCTAGTATATAAAGTATTAGACATTTCTCTAACATAATTTTTACTGATTTAATATTCAACAGCAATGGGTCAGGAGTTTCATGTGTTACGATGCTTCTCATGCTTGGTCTTCCAGTCGCATCAAGTACGGAAGGATAGAAAATTTGCTTGTAAATTGTGTGGAGCAAAGCAGTCCGTTAAAAAGGTAAATATTTTGTGCTAACAATGATAAAAATAACAAGCACTGAGTGATATTAAACACCGTTAAGGGCAGTACCTCCCTTAGCTTAATCCTGTGGCTTTTATTACTGTACATAGATGCAGTTACAAACAAACTGTTTGATATTATAGATAGAGCTAGTACATACAATACCTAAAGCTACTAATACGCATTGCGTTTTGCGCCATTTTGATATCTTTGCGCCATATCACGCCATTGTGATACCTTTGTGATCTGAGTGTGGTGTACGAGTGTCAACACCTTTATTGCAGTAGTGTGTGGTCAGGTTGACTGTAAAACCCTGGTTGGGCTCTGGTTTGGGGCCTCCAGAACTTCTCCAGTGAATTCAGTAGAGTTCCGGGTTGGTCGATTTTGTAACAATAATGGCTGAATCGGTTAGGGTATGTGTCTGGAATTCTCCAGAATGTGCAGTTCATTCACTCGAACCCAAAATAATTTTTGTTTATATAATTCTGTATTCCTTCTTGTACGTCGTTATTACAGTATAGACAATTATTTATTATAATAAATAAGTGTAGATAATAAACATTACTGGTGTTAGAACTGAGCTCTGTGGTACTCCAATGGTAACACTTCTGTCTGATACATTACCTGTGATTACTGTCAAGATTTTTGTCAATTTTTCATCCATGTCAGAAGTCTCCATCACTCCTCCAGCATGTTCCCGTTTTCAGAACAACTAATCATGTGGGACTCTGTCGAAAGTCTTCTTTTAGGTCCAGATAAATGCAGTCAACCCAACCATCTCTTTCCTCTAAAACCCAAACACACTTTTTCTCTCAGGGTTTTCTCATTTGGTTTTAATTATTTTTCCAATGTTTTGACTAATCTGCTTGTCAATGATACAGGTCTATAATTAAGAGATCTTCCCTACAACCATTTTTGTAGATTGGAACAATGTTTGCCTTTTTCCATATATCTGCCAAGTACATAAAGATGCCTAAAAATCAATTGAAGTGGAATGCTAAGCTTAGATAAACATTCTCTCAGAACCCAAGGTGTAACTCCATCTGAGCCAACTGCTTTGTTCCTACTTAGCTCCTTAAGCATTTTTTCCATTTGGTCTCGCAACACCTCTATGTACTTTGTTGTTCTGAGATTTGTTTTGTGACCTGTTCACTGAAAACTTAATTTTGTACAAACTCATGTTGGAACTGTTTGTTTAGTGTTTCACACATTGCCGTTTCATTCTGTGAATCTTTTCCTCATTTATAACCTCTGAATTATATAATTTACCTGGATTTGCTCTTAATGAATTTACAGTATAGGCCTGGTTCTGTTTTACATTTGTCTACAATCCCCCCTTCAATTTCTTTCTTCCTCTCCTCACTACCATATACTGTAGTTGTTTCTTGCTTCTTTGTATTGCTTGCATGTTTGAAGGTTTGGTTGTTTAGACTTGATTTCTGTGAACTCTCCAGTGTCTGTAAAGCATCACTGATTTTCTGGAGGCTTTTTCAGGTGGGATGGAGGATTGTCACTTGCTCCCTGTGGTTCCGTGAAGGGGGTACCAGGTTTTGGCTCTGGTTTCTGGAAGGTCAAACATAACTTCGACGACTAATGTGACCTTTTAACATGGAACAATCTCACTAGATACCTTCAGGGAGCTATTGGGGCTCCTCCAGAAAGAGGCATTTCAATACATTCATTGCTGGGTTTTTGGCCACATGGAAAAAAAGATGAGACTCGGAGATAAGGTCTCGAAGATGATACCTGTCTTCATTTTACCTGTACAGTACTAGTATTGGCACAAAATAATGAGATTGATGGTTGGGTGGTATAGACAGGGACACTTCACAGCCAGCAGACTCAACCCAGCCACTAATTTTTTCCTTAAATATAACACTCCATTTAGGCCTAACTTGGTGCTCTAAGCCTCTGGCTGGATATAGCTACTAGCACGTCCAGTGGCACATTTCTGCTTGGTCTCCTTGGTTTTGTCTCATGAGAGAGCAGGGAATGTTCAAATGGGTGGAGAGGATGATCATACTAGAAGCCTATTATTGTTTTATTGGTGTAATATTTTGTATTATTAAAAGCATCTTTTCTATTTTTCCTCTGATATACAGTGTATAGCATTTGCTTTTTAACATTAAAATTTACATAATTAAAAATGGAACTTCTTGAAACTTTTTAGGATTATGGTCGAGGAACAGGCAAGGACTGCAGAGTGCATGTACAAAAGCTCAACAGTTTAAGAGGAAATCTTGAAGAGCAAGAAAAAAGGTTTGAATCGCAGCATGAAGAGCATGATGAACCTGGGTCTCCTTGGAAAGCTTCACCTCAAACCAATGGTACATTCACTTCTGACTGTCATGACACAAACATTGGAAACAGTGCAGGTCAGGGAAATTATTATTATACAGTTTTGTTGTGATTCTTAACGCAGTTATATTTGTTTTCACAATAATGATTGTGGGGTGTGCCTATTTAACTACAATACTGCACTGTCATTTCTGAGCTGTATTATTCTGCTGTTCCCAAAGATATAGTAAATTTCTGTGTTTTCAAGAACCACAACTCTGTTGAGCAAAATACATGGCACAGATATAACTTGGGCATAGGTATTGGTTGTCTTTGTCAGGGACTCAAAGCCTGTTAGCCAACAGGCTTCCTGCCCCTGACAAAGAAATTGGCTAATTGTTGGCTAATTAGCCAACAATTAGCCATTCATCAGACTACAGTCCACACCAGTTAACTAATTTCCAGGTACCTCTTTACTGCTAGGTGTAAGGAAGCTTGCCCAAATGTTTTGCATTAATGGCATCAAACATATGCCCAGTGGACCGTGAGCCAACTGTGATAACTAATGCACTATAATTATATCATATGGTACTCTAGTTGGACTACATGAAAGTACTGGGGTGTCACTGGGAAAGATGGCAGATATTTAGAAGGGTCTGTTCAGAACACCAGAGTAATTAGGTTCCATTGACATGATGTACATGATTATTATATGGAGCATATTTAATAGCAATTAAAACACATGTCTAGCACCTTGTACTTTTGCCATGTGGCAGCATTACTGCATTAGAGGTCTATCAAGCCCACCCACTCACATACATCCTTTCTACAGTTATGACAAGTTGGCAGGCTATGAGCAATTCTCAAGCAAAGTATGACCTTTGCTGCCTTGGGGATTTGGTGTGGGTGAGCATGCAGTTTACTCTGTGACCCCTGCCAAGATTTGGTCTGATATTTTCAGTGTCCCTGTTCATATGCATGATACTGGGTGATGACTTACAACTCTGCCTGTGTGAGCATTTGCTAGTTAACATCCTTTTTCTTTAGAGCACAGAGAGATGCTCCAAAAAAGATATAGATAGATAGATAGATTTATATATATATATATATATATATATATATATATATATATATATATATATATATATATATATATATATATATATATATATATATATATATATATATATATGTTGTACCTAGTAGCCAGAACGCACTTCTCAGCCTACTATGCAAGGCCCGATTTGCCTAATAAGCCAAGTTTTCCTGAATTAATATATTTTCTCAAATTTTTTTCTTATGAAATGATAAAGCTACCCATTTCATTATGTATGAGGTCAATTTTATTTTATTGGAGTTAAAATTAACGTAGATATATGACCGAACCTAACCAACCCTACCTAACCTAACCTATCCTATCTTTATAGGTTAGGTTGGGTTAGGTGGCCGAAAAAGTTAGGTTAGGTTAGGTTAGGTAGGTTAGGTAGTCGAAAAACAATTAATTCATGAAAACTTGGCTTATTAGGCAAATCGGGCCCTGCATTGTAGGCTGAGAAGTGCGTTCTGGCTACTAGGTACGACATATATATATATATATATATATATATATATATATATATATATGTCGTACCTAGTAGCCAGAACGCACTTCTCAGCCTACAATGCAGGGCCCGATTTGCCTAATAAGCCAAGTTTTCATGAATTAATTGTTTTTCGACTACCTAACCTAACCTAACCTAACTTTTTCGGCCACCTAACCCAACCTAACCTATAAAGATAGGATAGGTTAGGTTAGGTAGGGTTGGTTAGGTTCGGTCATATATCTACGTTAATTTTAACTCCAATAAAATAAAATTGACCTCATACATAATGAAATGGGTAGGTTTATCATTTCATAAGAAAGAAATTTGAGAAAATATATTATTTCAGGAAAACTTGGCTTATTAGGCAAATCGGGCCTTGCGTAGTAGGCTGAGAAGTGCGTTCTGGCTACTAGGTACGACATATATATATATATATATATATATATGTATATATATATATATATATATATGTCGTACCTAATAGCCAGAACGCACTTCTCAGCCTACTATTCAAGGCCCGATTTGCCTAATAAGCCAAGTTTTCATGAATTAATGTTTTTTCGTCTACCTAACCTACCTAACCTAACCTAACCTAGCTTTTTTTGGCTACCTAACCTAACCTTACCTATAAATATAGGTTAGGTTAGGTTAGGTAGGGTTGGTTAGGTTCGGTCATATATCTACGTTAATTTTAACTCCAATAAAAAAAAATTGACCTCATACATAGAGAAAAGGGTTGCTTTATCATTTCATAAGAAAAAAATTATAGTAAATATATTAATTCAGGAAAACTTGGCTTATTAGGCAAATCGGGCCTTGAATAGTAGGCTGAGAAGTGAGTTCTGGCTACTAGGTACGACATATATATATATATATATATATATATATATATATATATATATAGACACACACACACACACACACACACACACACACACACACACACACACACATACAGTGGAACCTCTATTAACGAGTTTAATCCGTTCTGGCACCGAGCTCGTTACCTGGAAAACTCGTCTTTGGAAACAAATTTCCCCATTTAAAATAAAGGAAATAAATTTAATCCGTTCCACTCCCAAAAACATCCATACTTGTATGACTTTTTTTTATGTAAATATAATACTGCACATGTAAATATAAATGTTTTGTTGTAGTGTTTTAATATTTACTTTACCTTATGAAGAGTAGTTGCTGGCTTGAGGGAGACAATGGAGAGGTGGGAAGGAGGAGAGGGGTTATGGTGTGGAAGGAGAATCCACCTCTGAGTCAGGCGGACTCTCTCTTCTTGGGAATTTCACCCAAATTTCATTTCAAATGTCACACAAGGATGCGTTAGACCAGCACCAAATAAAAAACTACGTTGATTACACTCGTTGTGTCAACAATATAATAGTCTTACCCCGAAGATACAATACAATGCCGTTTTCTCAAATAGGCAATGTGGTTATTAAAGAAAACGGAAATTTCATGGCAAACTTGTATACAATCCCCAAGTCAATCGGATAAGAATTGGATTTTATAGAAATATTTGCTCAAATGACGCTTGAGCGCGGTGTTTGGGAACATTCAAGAGAAAAAAAGTGTGTTATGTTCAAGCGACATATACCTGCGAAAGTGATAACACTTTCATAAAGTGTTATCACAAAGTGATAAATTAATTAAACATTTTCACACACCGGGTTGTCATTGCTTTATCAGGGCAGCTTTTCCAAGAATGCGTTCACCTTTTCAAACATTCCAAACACTTCCCTGATCTCAGTTTAAGAGGCAGCATCCTCCCTTACCTCCTCATTCCCTTACTAATGGTGTAAATTGTTGATGAGGACCTGCCATACTTCCTTGTGAGATCAATCACACAGACACCACACTCATGCTTTGCTATAATTTCCTTCTTTAAATCCACAGTAATTGTGTCTTTCTTCCTCTTGACAACACTATCTTTAGCAAGCAGCTTCTTTGGAGACATCGTTTGTTACAAATTGTAGTCGCAAAACCACTAAAAACCCAAAGAAAAGCTCAAATAAATCCAGAGGGATGCTTGTCGTGTGAGATACAACAACAACACTGGCGTCGGAGGCGTCCGAGAATTTGCGAGAACCCGCGAGACGCTAGGAAGCGCCATGTGGTTTCACTCGTTAATAGAGGCGAGCTCGTCAATAGAGACAAATTTGCTGCGAGTGGCTTGCTCGTTACTGGAAAAACTCGTTAATAGAGCCACTCGTTAATAGAGGTTCCACTGTATATATATATATATTTATTTCAACAATATTAAATTAGAAGAGTATGACAGCTTGCTGAAATCAACACTAGAAAAAGCCCTCAATCTTTCCCTCAGCGACTCGGACTCAGTGGAAACGGGCCTCCCTTCCTGTCAAACTCGGGGGCCTTGCCGTGCGCACAGCAACACAAATTGCTGTACCAGCGTTCCTGTCCTCTTCAGTGGGGTCTGACAACTTAAAGGAAATCCTACCTGAGCACCTAGTTCAACAGGCAGGGGTGCATGATCCCAGCTTCACAGACTGCACAACCAAATGGATCTCCCTCACAGGACCAGCACCCCAACCACCGCCTTCTGAAGCCCATAAGCAATCCAGCTGGGATCGCCCCATTGCCGACCAAGAAGCTGCAACTTTGCTAGAAGCTGCGACAACACCACATGACACTGCCCGACTTAGAGCTGTAGCAGCTCCCCATGCAGGTGATTTCCTATTAGCAACCCCAATGTCAGCAACCGGCACCCGTCTCACACCGCAGGCCCTCCGAATTGCCGTGGCTCTCCGCCTAGCTGCCCCAATCCACACCGAATACAGGTGTATTTGCGGCGAGGCAGAGGCCGACAGATATGGACGGCATAGCCTTCTTTGCCAAAGGACGGGAGGATGGCATGCAAGACATGGCGAGGTTAATGAAATTATTAAGAGAAGCCTTACCACAGCCGGTTGTCCAGCAGAGAGAGAGCCCCGTTACCTAATGTCCCGCAACTCTGATGAGCCTGTCGGTCGCCCAGACGGAATTACGGTGAACCCCTGGAAGAATGGTAGACAGTTGGTGTGGGACTACACTTGCGTTTCAACTTTAGCCAATACCTATGTTGACTTCAGTGCTACACAAGCAGGAGGAGCTGCCAATCACCGGGAAGCGGCCAAGTCACGTAAATACAGAGACCTTGAGCACCACTACAATTTTGTCCCCATTGCCTCAGAGACACTTGGTGCCTGGGGTAAAAGTGCTGCTAGCTTTTTGAAGGAGTTGGGGTCTAAGCTAATCGAAACAACTAGAGACCCTAGAGCTGGCAGTTTTCTTTTTCAGCCCTTAGTGTGGCAATCCAGAGAGGAAATGCTCACTGCATCCACGGTTCCTGCCCGCCATCTGAGGAGCTGGAGGAGCTGTTCAACATGTGACAAGCAGCCTTGTACCCTGCATGTAATCAATATTGTAACTTTTTTGTGTAATGACATTTTCAAATAAAGTTAGATAAATATACACACTTAACAAAAGAATAGGGGTGGTAG